TCATTCGAATAGCGAAACTTTGTATTTTTCAAGAAACACCGTTTCAGCTCTGGGGTGGGTTCCAGCACGCTTCCGTAGCCTTGTGGCTTTGTGTTGCTCCTGTCTGAGAGGTGCTTCTGCGCTCTCAGGGGACTGCTGGAGCGAGGTGCTGCTGTGGCTGCTCACAGTTCACCGGCTCTCAGCTGCTGCTGCTGCATTTCTAACCCAGAGCAGCAGCTCCCAAGTCCTTTCTTTTTTCTTTTTTTTTTTTTCCCTTTTTTTATGCATAGACTCTTAATTTTTGTCTCCTCTTTTTGTTTATGCGCCACAGTTATCCTCAATGAATGAAGCACCGTCTCCCTTGCACGTGTTCTGGTTTAAAACACTGGACTGGATCGAAAGTCAGCAGCTCCTCTCTGGTTTTTGGAGATGGGAATTCCAAGCTTTTGCTCAGATTTATGTCAGTTCCAGTAAGGACATTTCATACAGATTAGCTCGGCGGCCTGTTTCATTGGGGAGGGGAGCAGCTAGAGATGAGGATGCTGCAAGGAACTGATAGCAGATACCAGAGCCTGGTATTTCTCTGAAGGGGGTGATCCTCCGGACCCATCCCTTGTGTTGCCATGCCTCTACTCTCCGATAGCTTATTTTATTGCATTGACTATCGACTTCTAGCAATGTCGCTGCCAGCCAGGCGGGAGGACAGCTGGGTGGCAGGATGGGAGCGCAGAACCCCGCAGCTGCTCCCCCAGGCCTGGCCCTCACCTCTCTGCTGCTGTCGCCCCTGCTGCCCTCCAGCCCAGTGACTTTGTGTGGCACTTCCCAAAATGCGCTGCAAGGTGTCCCTGAGCCCCCTCGCGAAGGTAGTGTGTCCCTGAGCCCAGCCTCACCCTTGCCTTGGACCCGTGCTCTTGCACAAAGCCAGCGCAGGGACACCAGTGCCACCTGCAGGCACGTCCTAGCAGAGAAACGTGTCCTAGCAGAGGACGCGTGTCCCCACCGTGTGTTTTGGGAAGGTGGTGCTGAGGTGTGTGCCTCCACGGAGGACAGCAGGTTGTGAATCCTCGGTGGAGTAAGTGCTTCTGGTATCAGTGAGTAAGAAGTGTAAAACCCTGCAAGCAGGAGGGTTTACAATCCACACCCCGTCCTCACCTTCCCTGCACCTTCAAGATCATAGAATCATAGAATAGTTTGGGTTGGAAGGGACCTCTAAAGGCCATCTAGCTCAACCCCCCTGCCGTGGGCAGGGACATCTTCAACTAGATGAGGTTGCTCAGAGCCCCGTCCAACCT